AAACATAGGTTTCATCGATTCACTTAGGTTTATTTTGCCATATTCCTCAATAAACCCACAGAATCTTTAAAAAAATATCAAAAGATTCCAAAATAAATTTTTGGAAACCTGTTTTTAAACCTGTTGCGCCTTTGTCATTTTTTTTAAATTTATGGTAAGTTTTTAATATAACAAAGGGTTTTGTTGTAAAAATCATAGGTTCCTTTGATTCACTCAGGTTTATTTTTCTTTATTTTTTAATAAACCTACGGAATCTCTAAAAATATTTCAAAAAATTCCAAAAGAAGTCAGTGGAAATCAATTTTTTTGACACATTTGACTTTATTTTATATTTTATATTAGTTATTAAATAAAAAAAAGGGAATTTATTGTAAAATCATAGGTTTCTTTGATTTACTCAGGATTTTTTTACCATATTCCTAAGCAAGCCTACAGAAAATTAAAAAATATATCAATAGATTGTAAAAACAATCAGTGGAAATTTGTTTATTTAACGCATTTGTCTTATTTTTGTATTTATGGTAAGTTAATTTATTCAAAAAGGGGTTTTGTTTAAAAAACATAGTTTCCTTTGATTTAACCAGGTTTATTTTACTATAATTTTTAATAAACACACATAATCTCTAAAAATATATCAAAAGATTCCACAAGATAACTGCGGAAATCTGTTTTTTTGAGGAAATTGTCTTATTTTTTAATTTTATTTAACTTATTATATAGAAAAAGTGGTTTTGTCGTAAAAAACATAGTTTCCTTTGATTTATTCATGTTTATTTTACCATTTTATTCATTCATGTTTGTTTTACCATTTATATACTAACTAAATCTCTAAAAATATACTACAAGATTTTAAAAGCAATTGGTGAAAACCTCTTTTTTAACGCATATGTCTTATTTTTTTATTTTGGGTAATTTATTATATGAAAAAAGGGGTTTTGTCGTAAAAAACATAAATTTCTTTGATTCAATCAATTTTATTATCATATAATTTTTAATAAACCCAGTTAATATCTAAAAATAAAACAAAATAATCAAAAAGAAGTCAGTTAAACATGTTTTTTTGACGCATTTGTCTTTTTTAGGTGAGTAATTATATAGAAAAACGCACTTTTCATTTTTAGGTGAGTAATTATATAGAAAAAGTGGTTTTGTGGTAAAAAAAATACAGTTTCCATTTAATTCGCTCAGGTTTGTTTTACCATATTCTTAAATAAACAAATAAAATCTTTAAAAATAATTCAAAAAATTTAAAAAGAAATGAATTTTTGACGGGTTTGTCATATTTTTCAATTTTAGGTACGTTATTGTATATAGTTAGGAATATTGTTGTAAAAAACACAGGTTCCATTTGATTTACTCAGGTTTATTTAACTATTTTTTTTAATAAACCCACAGAGTGTCTAAAAATAAATCAAAAGATTCTAAAAGAAATCTGTTAAAACCTGTTTTATTAACGCATTTGTCTTATTTTTCAATTTTTACATAAGTTATTATGAAGAAAAAGGGGTTTTGGTGTAAAAAGTAAAGATTCCTTTTATTCCCTCCAATTTTTTTCTCTATATTTTTTAATAAACCCACAGAATCTTTAAATATATATTAAAATAATCTGAGTGAAATCAGTGGAAACCTGATTTTTTGACGCAATAGTCAAATTTTTCAACTTTAGGTATATTTTTATTTAGATAAAGGGTTTTTGTTGTAAAAATCATAGATTCCATTGATTGACTCAGGTTTCCTTTACCATATTTTTTAATGAACCCACATAATATCTACAATAACAACAAAAGAGTCTTAAAGAAACCAATGGAAACCTGTTTTTTTGACGCATTTTTTTAATTTTTTTTTTAAGTAAGTTATTATAAAGAAGTCGGATTTTTGTCGTAAAAAACATATATTCCATTTGATTCGCAAAACTTTATTTTACTATATTTTTCAAAAAACCCACAGAATCTCTAAAATTATATTAAACGTTTCTAAATGAAATCTGTGGAAACTTGTTGTTTAGGCTCATCGGTCTAATTTTTTAGATTAAGGTAAGTTATTATATTGAAAAAGGGGTTTTGTTGTAGAAAAACATAGGTTAACTTAATTTACTCAGGTTTATTTTACCATATTCTTTAATAAACCCAGAGAAACTTTAAAAATATTTCAAAAGATTCCATTAGAAATAAGTAAAAACCTATTTTTAGGCGCATTTGTCTTAATTCTCAATTTTAGGTAAATTCTTATATTGAAAAGGAGTTTTTTCGTCAAAAACATTGGTTTCTTTTATTCACTTAAAATTTCTTTACCATTTTCTTAAATAAACATACAGAATTTTTGAAAAAATATTAAAAGATGATAAAAGAATTTTGTCAGAACCTTTTTTTTTCAATTTAATGTAAGTTTTTATATAGAAGAAGAGGTATTGTCTTAAAAATCTTATGTTCCTTTGATTTACTAATGTTTATATTAACATATTCATTGAAAAACCTATAAAATCTCTAAAAATATATCAAAAGATTTCAAAAGAAATCTGTGGAAACCTGTTTTTTTAACGCATTTGTCTAACGTTTCAATTTTATATAAGTTATTATATAAAGAAAGGAGTTTTGTCGTAAAAAACATTGGTTCCTTTTATTCACTCTGGCTTTATTTACCATATTTTTTAATAAACCCACAGAATCTTTAAAAATATATCAAAAGACTCCAAAGTGAGTCTGTGGTAACCTCTTCTTTTGACGCTATTTTCTTATTTTTCAATTTTATTTAAGTTATTATATAAAAAATGGTTTTGTCGTAAAAAACATAGATTCCCCATATTCAATCAGGTTTATTTTATCATATTTTGTAATAAACCCACAGAATATCTAAAAAGATATAAAAAGATTCTAAAAGAAGTCGGTTAAAACGTTTTCGACGCATATGTCTTATTTTTCATTTTAAGCTGGGTTATTTTAATGAAAAAGGAGTTTTATCCTAAAAAACAAATCTTCCATTTGATTCACTCAGGTTTTTTAATTATTTTTTTTAATAAACCAACAGAATTTTTAAAAATATATTAAAAGATTCCAAAACAAATATACAAATTTTTTTGACGAATTTGTTTTAATTTACAATTTTTTTTAAGTTATTATATAGAAAAAAGGGTTTCGTTGTAAAAAACATAAGTTCATTTAATTCACTCAGGTTTATTATATTATCTTTTTAAATAAAACCACAAAATATCTAAAAATATATCAAAAGATTCCAAAAGCAGTCAGTGGAAACCTGTCTTTTTGACACATTTGTCTTAATTTTTAATTTTAGGTAAGTAATTATATAAGAAAACTTGGTTTTGTCGTAAAAAACAAAAGTTACTTTGATTCACTCAGTTTTATTTTACAATATTTTTTCATAAACTCACAAAATCTCTTAAAATATATCAAAAGATTCTACAAGAAGTCTTTAGAAACCTGTTTTTTTGACGCAATTGTCTTATTTTTCAATTAAATATAAGTTATTATTTAGAAAAATAGGTTTTGTCGTAAAAAACAATGGCTCCTTTTAATTGACTTGGGTTTATTTTACCATATTTTTAATAAACACACAGAATCTATAAAAACATGCCAAAAGATTCCAAAAGAATTAAAAGCAATCAATTGATGTACTAAGTATGAGTATAACAACAGTTGTTGAGCCAGAAGAAGCAGCTAGAGCTACATTAAAAAAATAATAATAACACTACACTTGCTTTAAACTCACAAGCCAAGTCACAACACTTTAAAGCCATGAAAACAACATAACCACTTACATATAATACACATTGAAGCACTTTATATATTACAGGTATTTATGAAACAGAATTTATTATTGCATCATATTATCTCATAAAATTTTAGAATTTTATAACTGATTTAACAGATATTACAGATTATAATAGAGATAATAAAGATTTGAGAATAACTTCTCATGTGGTCAAAAATGTAAAGTGATACATTATATAATCAAGCAAAACAAATCTTCTTTAAAAAAAAGATTTGTTATGCTTTACGAGTCAAACACGCACGAATTAGTAAGCAGCATTAAATTAAACATTAATTATATAGGGCTAATTAGTTTGTATTTAGGACTAAAAGTTTGTCTAACAGCAAACCTACAACTATAATACTGGGAAAAAGTAACACGATTGATGATATGTCCATATTGCATTATAGAGTTACAACCCATCCATCCATTCCCATCCCGCGTCATAACTAACGTCATAACTGTCATAATCCATAACTGTTGTCATAATCCGATAATCTTTTTTAAAAAAAAAAAGATTTTTTTTTGTTTAAAGGGATTACCTTTAAACAAAAAAAAATCTTTTTTTTTTGTTATAAAAAAAATATATAAAAAGCAAATTTTTTAATTTTATTCAGATGGAATCAAAGAACAAACCATTACAACAGTTCGATAAACCAATACCTGTTGCAGTTGTAAAAGTTTAAATGGAAGTTTTAAACTTTATTAAAAAAAGTGGTATACGAATATGCAAGTTTTTTCAATGTGTTGGAAATTTTGTTAAACTTAATGCAATAAAAATATATAATTGATCAAAATTGGGAAAGATAGCAAAATTGTTGTTACTCGTTTCTGGAAAGATTGCAAAATTTTTGTTAATCGTTTTGGTTTTTACGTTGCTGACATTATTAATGATATTATTTTTTATTTTTGGAACACTTCATTATATTGTTTGTGTGCTTATGGTCAAAATAAATGAATATGAACCTTTACGAATTGGAGAAGATTTGTAGAGAAGTATTAAATAATAGTGAAAAAAGAAAATATAAATCAATTGAAAAAAAGAAGTTTCGAATTGTTTATCATATGGAAATTTGATTTACATAACAACCGTTTGATTTACATAACAACCGTTTGATTTACATAACAACCGTTTAATTTACATAACAAGCATTTAGTAGTATTATTAAAACGCTTGGAAAATTTTGTTAATTATTAAAAGGGTTACGAAAAATATAATTTAAAACACGAGCATGTATACGGTTGTAATACAATATTTAATAAATTAAAATGATACAAAGAAATGTTTTTTTTTTATTTTCCAGCTTGATTGATCCGATAAGATATTCCTCCTGAAACAGCACCATTGGACGGGCACAACAATGATTGTGCTCGCTCTCTTCATTGCACAGGCAACATCCTAAACATAACACACGTCTTGGTGTTGCAAAATAGCGATCGTTTCTGTTCATTCTGTTATCATCCAAATGACGGTCTATTCGCATCATTATTCTATCAAGTATACGCACTTGTTCTAAAAAAATATTTTAAACTATTATTTTTTTTTTTTTTAAAAATTATGTTTATAAAAAAATTTTAATTTACCATCGTTTATTTCTGGAATATCATCAAATATTTCCAGCTAGTCTTCGTACATTTGTTCATCTGTTTCCTCAATTGTTCTTGTTTCAACCACTTGAGGAACATAGATTTGAGAAGCTTTATATATATTCTCAGGTACATATGGTTTAACAATCTAGAAAAAAACACAACCACTTCAAAAAAAAAATACAAAACATTTTTTTATAAAGAAAACAATAAACTTACAGCTACAGGTTTGACAAATAATTGTCGTTTAACTTTATTTTTTTTACTTTCGTCGATTTTTTTTACTTTAACCATTTTTACTCTTTAACAATAAATTATCAATTAATATGATTTGACAAAAATTTACTTTTTATATATTTTTTTTATAACGCTAGATTACCTTTAAACAAAAAAAATTATTCTTTTTTTTTTAAAAAAGATTATCGGATTGTAACAATTATGACAGTTATGACGTTAGTTATGACGCGGGATGGGAATGGATGGATGGGTCGTAACTCTATAATGCAATATGGACACATCATCACACAATGCTCCAGTTAATTGTGCCACCATAATTTTTCTCATCTACTTCTGCCGTGTTTTTAAATGTAGAAGCAAATGGGTTTTCTTGATTATTTAAAGTTTGTAATAGTTGCATTAACTCGTTTATACAACCATCATTACCAGGTTGCTTCATTCTCATTGACACTGCTACATTCAGATCATATATATTTAACTGAAAATACGTGGGTAGAAAACCTTCTTCAGGGCTTAAATTTCCAACACGATGCAAAATTTGCCTATAAAAATTAAAACAGAAATGCAATTATTTGAGGGATGAGGTATTTTGGCTGCGAATGAAGCAAAAAATTAAAAGGAATTATGACACCTATTCTAACATCTTTTATTTTTATGGCAATTTATTTTAGCTTACCTAGGCTTATCTCTTTCATTTCAAGGACAATTTACCTCAGCTAGCCTAAGCTCATCTCTTTAATTTTGGCGACGGTTAAATTCATCTTGTCTAGCCTGGTTTCTTTAATTTCAACGATGCCGTATAATATTACTTCTTTAATTATCAGACATAAATAAGCATCATAGGAGTGTCTAAAAATGATTCCTAATATTATAAAAGTTGCACTTTTATTTCAAGATTGGACTTTTGGCTTGCTTTCTTAACTTATCTTAAATAAAGTGTAAGCAAATAAAACATAGTATAATATAATAATCTAATTATATTCTACCTCTACCATTAGTTATATTTAAATTAGATGTTTTAAAATGCAATAGCAGTGTGTAAGGATAACATGTTTCCAGTGCCGGATTAAGGGGGGCTAGAGAGGCTATAGCCCCGTGCCCCACAAATTTAAAGGCCCCCCAAAATTTTAGAGGAACTTTTTTTTTTTTTTAAGTCATTTTTAGGCTCTGGCCCATAAAAAGGCCTCCAAAAACAAAAATAGGCCTGGGCCTCAAGAAGTTATAATCCGCCAATCAAGAACTTAAACTAAAGTTATAAATAAATTGATATAATCTTTATAACTGATAAATTTAATGTAGCTATTAATACTTATTGACAAAATATTAATAGTATTCGATCAAAAAAAATACAACTCAGCAAATACTGTAATCATTAAATAGTGAAATGTAGTCCTTCTTCAAAATTCATTACTTTGAAACCAGTTTAATGCTAGATTTACAATTAATAAGTAAATACAAAACTATTAATAAAAAACCTTCATAAACAATCATATATTTACTTTAAGAGAAGAAACTTGAAAATATTGAATCTTCTTAAACTGACTTTAAAAGTTATTTTACTAATTCAAAAATAACATAAGGTTCATTCTTCACTACAGAAGTAAAGCAGAACTAAAAAAGAAGTAAAGTTATCGAACAAAATTTGTTGATTTTATCACTAAATAAGCTTGTAAAGCAAATTTTTCATTCTTGTTACTGACTAAACATTTATTAACAGGTTGTTAGGACTAGAGAGCACCTCGCGTGAGTTCAAAAGTATAAAGAGAAGGAACTTGGTAAATCCTTTTTGTAACAAATATTAAAAAAGTCCGTTTAACAACGCACGAATGGGCAGCAGCAGCGCACAGTGGGCCATGGTAAGCCAAAAGTCAAAATTATTTTCATTAAATTTTTGTATAAAAAACTACTATTCAATGAACGTAACATATTTTTTTACATAAAAACATAAGGATTGTTGATCAAAAAATGCGCCTTCACCAAAATTTTTTAATTTTAAGTTGTCA